ATTTAGATGTATCAAAAATGTAGGTGCAGAAGTATCAAAAATGTAGGTTTTGATCCTATATAGTATATTTTATAACATTGTTATATGGAGTTGAGTAACAAATCGATATATATTAGGAATCAGAAACAAATATAAGTCTAAAGCATTATTATATTTGGAGGTTGTCTAAAGCTATGTCCATTATGTAATCTAAAGCCAATAGAATTGTTTATTTTAATTGACACAGATCAGCTTGAAAAAAACAAAAAACAGCAAAAAAAGTAAAAATCACAAAATATATAAAAAACAATAGTCTAAACCCATTAATAAAAAATGTTGAAAAAACAATTTTACTATAAGATATGCCTGACTCTAACCCCAAACTAACCCTTACCCTAACTTTAATAAAAAAACACATGATTGGACATAGCTTTAGACGTCTCCATATTTGGTAATATTCCTGATTGTAATCAATTGTTGTTTTCAAAATAGTTTTGTAATTACGGAGGGGCAGACAAAAAATTTCGAAGTTACGTTATTGATATGTTAATTATAATAATTATGTTAATGCACCAAAAAGGAAACGTTTGATGGTCGAAACGCATCAAAAACGTAACTTTTGTATCACTTAATGCGTAAAAATTGAGTGTTTGTCGCTACGCTCCAGACAATAGACCAAATTTGGCCGCTAGACGGTTTAAGGGATAATTTTATATATAAAAAATTTAGATGTGATATATCTGTGTGACTGATATTAATGTATAGAGTGTAAAAAATAAACATTTGCATTATATATATTTTAAAACATTGAACATCAAATGCAAACATTGATTAAAGGGATAATACCTTCAATCTATTAACTTTTAGTTTATTTTTATTAATTATTTTTATCTTCTAGCACGACGGTAATATGCATTCATTTTATTCAAACATTTTACTATAGGCTTTTTTCTGCGCCTTTTCCCTATTAGCAAGTCGTTGCTTGGCAACAACCAACTCTTTAGTAATGGCAGGATCATCTGGGTTTAATTTGGCGGCTTCTTGCAAATCTTTAATAGCTTCTTCCTCATCTTTCATACCAACTTTTGCAGAACCACGTCTATATAATGCTTTAGCTCGAATTGTGGGTGACAACACTTTTTCAGGCATTTCTAATACCACATTTGTGGCTTGAACGACATCACCCCATTCGTTGAATTTAAGCGAACATGCAGCTTTATTAAGGTAGCATGAAATTTTTAGTTCGTAAAATTCATTAGGAAGCTTTACTGAATCATCTTCATCATCAGAACCTGAATTCGCATCCAAATATCGAATAGCCTTAAATAAGAAGAATAATAATAAATACTCATTTATGTTTAATTGAAACTAATCGAGAATATAAACGATAATTAATTTTG